ATATACAGCATTTAAAATATTTATGAAAACGCACCGAAGTCACCAGTAATGAGTAATTCCAACTATAGATATATAAGTGGTCCATTTATCATTAGTGCAATACAAAAGGATAGCGAATAAATTCTATATTCTACAAGTTATATTCACTTTGCTTTTATGTTACCATAATTTTATCAACATGTGGTTTTGAAATATTGTTCCAAATGCCTTACATTACTCCCCTCAATTCAGCCAAGTCTTTGGCTCCCGTCTAACCTCTTTGGTTTCCATATAAGCCCATACAGTGTCGATGATATTCAAATCTCGATTTTGTGCAGACGAAGCCCTGATTGTGAGTGGTTGGTTGATTGGTGTTTATTGGCGCAAAGCAATTAGGCTATCTGCGCCAAACAACCGGTAAAAACAGTAAAAATAAATTGTAGTAAAATGTAAAATAAAGTGAGTTAAAACCAAAATATGTCGATAAAAGATTTATATACAATTAAAAAGACAAATAATGCGTAAAAAATTAAAAGTACAATCTAGTCAGACAGTGTCACCATTACCAATGAAAACAAGTGTCTAAAATGGTGCCGCCCCTCACGGTCGTAACGACAGTAAAATGTGGGCTATTGTGAATTGAGTGTCACAATGGCTACACATCGATGGGTCAATACCTGATAAAAGAAAACGATGAGTTAAAAAACTGTGACCAATGCGTAGCCTTACCAGGACAACTTCCTCCTTCCGAAGCAAGACGGCTAGAGACCAACAGAGGGTTTGGTCTGGAAAAGATTGTTATGACGTTGCCCACCCCAAGTCGACTGCCAACTGGCACGAAGCCGCGCCTTGAAGACAAAACCGTAGACCATGTACGGGACAGGCACGGCCGTGATGGAACCAGAGCAGATGGACTTAGCTGCTGTGTCAGTGAGCTCGTTCCCGTGAATACCGACGTGTCCAGGTATCCAGAAAACTGAATGGAAACAGAAGATAGATAGCAATGGGTCAGTCGTTGTTGAATATCGACGAGAACAGGGTGAGAATCAACGTTAAGCGATTCCAGGGCCAGTAGAGAGCTAAGAGAATCAGTGTAAATAATACAATTACTATACTGCATAGCTTCTACATTATCCAGGGCAAGAGAAATAGCATATAACTCGGCAGTGAACACAGAAACTGTAAAGGGGATCCTGCGAGCAACAAGGGAATCACAACACACCATGGCAGAGCCTACAGAGTCACCCGATTTCGAACCATCCGTGTAAATAGGAAGAGAAGATACTTCCAATCGGGAGTATCCGCCTTCCTCATATGACTCATGGAAAGGTCACAGGATGGGATGATAATAAGCCATGTTGGAATGGGCTGATCATTGGGGACAGCAATGTCATCCAATGCCAGACCCAATTCAGCCAGTTGTGCCTGGATACGAAGGCCAAAGGGAGGAATAGGGAAGAATGACAATCCCAGGTGGGATGCCGTGGTAAGGATCGAAGTTTCGTAGCATATTGTAAAGAAAGTTGCAAACAATGGAGGTGAAGAGGAGGTTCATGGGACTCAATGTACAAACTATGGACTGGAGAAGTGCAAAAAGCTCTGATGCATAGCCAAAGCCCCAGATGGTGAATGGGGTCCAGCATCTTCAAGGCCGAGGTCCTGGCAGAACCATAGACTAAAGACCCATAGTCTAGTCTAGATCGAATCAGGGCACATTAGATCCTGAGCATAGAACATCGATTCACTCCCCAAGAGCTGGAAGAGAGGACACGGAGGATGTTCAGAGCCCTTGCACACTTGACACGTAGCTACTTGATGTGTGGAAGGAAGCTAAGCTTACGATAAAAAATAAGCCAAAATAATTTTCTCTCAGGGACCACACGAATAACTATATCGCCGAGACGGAGCTTGGGATCGGGGTGGAGACCCCGTTGGTGGCAAAAATACATGAAAATGGTTTTCGAAAAGGAAATTTAAAACCGTTTGCAGTGGTCCATGTCAACAACCGATTGAAGACAGTCTGAAGCTGCTGCTGCTCATTAAACCTCATGGTCGACGACTGACACGAGATGTGGAAGTCATCGACATAGAGACCATTTGCAACAGTCGGAGGAAGATTATTAGTGATGGCATTAAATTTAACACTAAAAAGTGTGACACTCATGACACAGCCCTGAGGGACTCCAAGTTCCTGTGAAAAGAAACGGGAAAGAGTTGAACCCACACGGCCTGTTCAGTAAAAAAGTTTTGAATAAAAATGGGTAAATGTCTATGCAACCCATAGAAGTGGAGTAGGCATAGACCTATCAACTCTATTATGCATGGAGGGAGAAGACCCCTCAAGTGGCGTGAAAAAGACTCAGATGGAGGCACAGAAAGGTCTGTCTGCACTACCACTGTAGCAATGGAGTGTAGTGCAGTGGCGTATGTCCGAGATGGAGTAGGGAACAATAGCTTCCAAGCGTCAGGATAAGATATGTTATTAATAGTCTTCAAACGCTGTACCTCTTTTTCCTCCACCCACTTAGGGCAAGACCTAAAGTAAGAGGGGTAGGAACTACTACAATTAACACAGTGAAGGCCCAGTTTGCACTCGTAGGCATCGTGGTCCTTGCCACCACAACGAGCACACGTCACAGAACCACGACAAGATGTCTTCGAATGACTGAACCGCTGGCACTGAAAACATTGGAGAGTTCAAAAAACCTGCCTTAACAGTGGCAGGTGGACGTGGTGATGAAACCGTCAAAATAAGAACTGAGGTCGGCACCATAATACCATCTTGACGAGTGGAGATCCTTCGAACTGTTGGAACTCCTTGGCTGGAGAAACCAGCAAGGATCTCTGACTCGGGGATAGACTTCAAGTCCCTCTCAACAATAACTCCTCGTGAGGAATTCAGGGAAGCGTGGGGAGTAACCTCAATGGGTAAATCCCCAATGGCATTTGAATTCAAGAGGAGTTCACTGTGCTTAGCTGTGGATGTTTCAACCAAGATGTCTCCAGAACGGAGCTTCTTAACTGACTTTAGAGAGCCAGCAAGCCCCTCTAAGCCCTTCTGAATAAAAAAAGGGAAACATTTTCCCTAAACATTTATTAGATAGGGAATGCAGCAACGTCAGGGTTTCGTGAGCACTATACCCAAACACCAGCATCAGATATGATGTCCACAACTCCCGTTGAGAACACCCAACACTGGTACTCAGTTGACCCTAGCTCAATGGAACCAGCCGATTGACTCTGGGGGGGGGGGCACCCCAAGGCCACCAGTTTACAGGAATTCAAGGCCAAAGTGAGGTGTTGCAGTGCCCCAGACACCACTCAACCACCAGGATCCTCTCTTCCCCGGCAAACACGTGAGTGAACGTTTAGATTCCAGAGGAAGTAACTGAAAATACAGACCCTTCCCTGTGAGGTCTCCTCACCATGTACAGGAATCCACATCGAGGAGATTGGAAGTGTTTCATTGGCTTCTTTACCCTCTTCCACGTATCCTTTTATAACATTTTCTGCATATTTGAGATAGGATCTTTATCTTGCCCAACAGACATAACAGGAATATAATGATGGATAAAAAATTTATTTGTACCTACCAGTAGTCAGGGGACCATCAATTTTGTGTATATCTCTAATATTAGTAGTTGAGGTTCGGCACACATCTATAATGGTACCCAACGTGCTTTACTGTACACTGAGTGGTCATAAGTAAATAGACATCAAATTTTTCGTCATTTAACTGATTTTTGCTAACTAATTTGTGTTCACTATATAAATGAAAATGGTCCGCACACGAATTATCTTGTGTTACAACATGCCTAGAACTCAAGGTTCTCTCGAACTGTCAGATTTTTTTAGAGGAAGGATAGTCGGTCAAGCAGATGGTGGAATAAGTC